CCCCTCCCCTTCCCATAGTCTCATATTATACTTCTATCAAACATTTTTGTTGTAGATCAATATTCAGTGTTTATAGTATTGTGATTAGAAATAGTATTCACCATTGAGCCATGTGGTATAGATGATTACTGTGATTACACTTTTTTCTCACAATTTATGCCCCCTGAAATTAATTGCCTTTTAAAAATTTGCTTAGTTTTCTATATTCTGGTCACTGACCTTTCCTTAAATACTTTAAAGAAGGGTAAATCTCTTTTTTACACACACTAGATATTCTACCAGATTCCTTTTTGCCTTGCAGACAGCCTTCCTGGGGCCTCTGTCCTCCTGTTCTCATCTGGACTGGGTGTGTCTTAGGCCTGCTATACAGCTGTCATCCTGGAATTTCTCTACACTGCCACCCTGGGAATTCTCTTTGCTTCTTTCTTAGGTTGGATCTATGCTTTCTGAATTTCAAGATCCTCTCTCTCTTGTTTTACTTTCTTGTTTTGCTGCGAAACATCCTTCAGTGGCTTCCAGAGAAAGAGTGCATGGGAAGTAAATTTTTTTGAAAGCTTGCCGGTCTAAAAAAGTCATCTTTCTCTTTCACAGTTGATTAATGGTTTGGCTGGGTATAGATTCTAGGTTGGAAACCATCCTGCCCTAGAATCTTCCGTGTGTTACTTCCCAGTCTCCTCTCCTCCGGTGAGGCACAACATCATTCCAATTGCCAGTCCTTCATATGTGACCTATTTTTCCTCTCTGGAAACCTTTAGGAGGTTCTCTTTGTCCCATATGCCTTGAAATTTCACAATGCTATACCTGGTGGAAAATTATTTTTCATCTGTTGTCCTGGGCACTCTTAATTCAGAACTCAGGCCCTTAGTACTAGAAAATGTTTACAAATTATTTCTTTAATATGCTTTTTTTTTAAACAAACAAACAAAAGTTGAGTGGTTTATCAATGTCAACAGCCCCTGAGCTGGATGAAATTTGAGTTGCATAAGCAACCCTTATAAATCTGGGCACTTTATCATTGTCAGTAGGTTTTCCCAAGAGAATGATCTGTTTTGTTTTTTAGACAGAGTCTTGCTCTGTTGGCCAGGCTAGAGTATAGTGGCATCAACATAGCTCACTACAACCTCAAACTCCTGGGTTCAAGCCATCCTCCTGCCTCATCCTCCTGAGTATCTGGGACTACAGGCTTGTGCCTCCAAGCCCAGCCTACCATGCTTTTTAAAATTAAAACAAAACTTTTTTTTACTAGACCACCAGAAAATATGCTTTCTGTCTTTTCTTTCTTTCTTTCTTTCTTTTTATTTTAAAGAGATGGGGCTCTCGCCATGTTACCCAGGCTGGAGCGCAGCAGCTATTCACAGGCATGATCATAATGTACTATGGCCTCAAACTCATGGGCTCAAGCTATCCTCCCACCTCAGCCTACGGTGTAGCTGGGACTACAGGTGTGTGCCAATATATGCAGCTTTTTAATATGCTTTTCCTTCCGTTTTTTCCCTATTTCTGGAAATCCTATTAATACTATTCAGATATTGGATTAATCTTCACATGTTCTTATCTGTTCTTTCCTATTTTCCATCTCATCCATTAAATGACTTTTTATTTAGTGCCCACTATGTGCCAGTCATTGTTCTAGGAGCTGGGGAGAGAGAAAGGAACAAAACTAAGAAAAATCCCTGCCCTCATAGAGTTTACATTATACATTAGAAAGTGAAGAGTACTGTGGAGAAAGATACACTTAGGGAAAGATGCTAGGGAGCTCAGAACACGGGGCTCTATTTTAAATATGGTGATCAGGGAAGATCTCACTGAGAAAGTAGTTTTTGAACAAAGACCAGAAGATGAGGGGGCAAGCCATGTAGATATCTGGAAAAGAATGATAGACAGAAAGAACATCAAATATATAAGCCAGTATGTGGGGCAGGCTGAGGCAGGAGAGGTCCTGGTGGGATCCAGGTACAGCCAGGAGAGAGAAGGGAAGCAGGGAGGCAGAGAGGAAGATGAAGTCTGAGAGGTGAGGTGGTGATAGGTGAACTTCATATTGTGAATGACATGGAAAACCACTGAGGGTAGGAGCAGGGGGCTAATGTGATCTGGTTGACCTTTAACAGGATCATATAGTGCCTTTGTAGTGTGTACGCTGGTGGAGTAGAAGCAGAATGATTAGAAACTACTGCAATAATTCAAGACAAAGTGATGGTGGCTTGGACCAGGTGTCTTTCTACACTGTTTCCTGGGAGATTTCCCCAACTTTATTTTCTAAACCTTCTATTGAATTTTTCATTTAGCATGCAAAAGTTCTTTTTTAAACTCTAAATATTCTTTTTTTTCTTTTGGCATCTCATGCACCTTACTGTAGTCCCTTATTCCCTGATGTGTTTCCTAGTATCCAGATGAGATCTTAAGGCTGGGCGTAGTGGCTCATGCTTGTAATCCTAGCAGTCTGGGAGGCCAATGCAGGAGGATCCTTGAGCTCAGGAGTTTGAGACCAGCCTGAGTAAGAGCAGACTCTGTCTCTACTAAAAAAATAGCAAAAATTAGCTGGGTGTGGTGGTACATGCCTGTAGTCCCAGCTACTTGGGAGGCTGAGGCAGAAGGATTGCTCTAGCCCAGGAGTTTGAGGTTGCTGTGAGCTAGGCTGATGACACAGTGCTCTAGCCAGGGAGACAGAGTAAGACTCTGTCTCAAAAACAAACAAATGACAAAAAACCCAAAAACCAGATGAGATCTTATATCTCTGTGGATATTGATTATAATTATTTTGATGATTTCTTCTGTTCCTTTCATTATCTCTGGTTCCTATGAATTCCTTTTCTTGGAGGGGTGTGTTTCTGTTTTTCCTGTTACAGGTTCCCTTCAAATGTCTGGTAATCCTTGGCTATCTATTCATAGGTAAGAGTGAAGACACTAAAAAGCTGAGTGGAAGCTCTGTGTGGATCAGGCTTCCTGAATGATGGACTTCTCTATAGGGTACTTGTGTAAGAACGTTATCTTTATGTTGAGGAGACACCCCCCTCACCATGCTCCCATTGTTGATGCATGAAGGTTTTTCTTCCCTAAGCCAGTTTCCCAGAGAGGGTTCCTATGGTCTCTTGTTGGGAGATGTCTGACTCTCTGACCAGAATTAAATTTAATTTAATTAAATCCTCTCATCTTTAGCATGGTATCACCTCCTCAGCTATGTTTTCTTTTTTTGAGACAGAGTTTCACTTTGTTGCCCAGGCTAGAGTGAGTGCCATGGTGTCAGCCTAGCTCATAGCAACCTCAAACTCCTGGGCTCAAGCAATCCTCTTGCCTCAGCCTCCCGAGTAGCTGGGACTACAGGCATGTGCCACCATGCCCAGCTAATTTTTTCTATATATATTAGTTGGCCAATTAATTTGTTTCTATTTATAGTAGAGACGGGGTCTCGCTCTTGCTCAGGCTGGTTTTAAACTCCTGGCCTCGAGCAATCCGCCCGCCTCGGCCTCCCAGAGTGCTAGGATTACAGGCGTGAACCACTGTGCCGGGCCAATGCCAGGTATGTTAAAGTCCAATCTCTCTGGTTTGTCTTTTCCAGAATGAAAATCTTCAGTTTGCTTCCTAAGTAGGAAAAGGGATTTAGAGTCTAACTGCTCCTTAAATTGCCTTGTAACCAGTTTTCCTGCTTTCCGCTCCATCTCCACCCTCACTTTCAGTGGTACCAGGTGCATCCAATGCATCCAACTCCTAAGCCTTTCTGGGGCATTTTAGCATTAATTAACTTCTTTCCTGGCTTCCTCCACTCCATAACTTAGTTTTCTCCATTCTACTAAAGCCATTTCCATTTATCTATGTTCTCCAGTTTCCAAAATGTTGTTGTCATCTGCTGTCTGCTATTGTCCCTCCTCCAGGTCTCTTTGTCCTGTGAGTTTAAAAATGCCCTTTTTATTCCTTTCCTGTCATTTTAGTGGGGTTTTGAGAGGGAAAAGAGGTAAACATGGGGTGTATCCAAAGGATTCAATCTATCACATGCACCTTAAAGTGTCTTTTCCATGTTTGAGTTCTGTGTGCCCTATCTCCCCTTAGATAGGGAGCTTGGGCTGAAGGTTGGGTAGGGCAGAGGGTAACAAAAGAATAGAAGATACACTCCCTTCCTCCAAAAAACTACATTCCATTTAACTCTTTCAGGGTAGTGTAAGGACCATTTTTCCATTGTGTGATTTCAGTCAACTATTCTTTTCAGAAGCAGGGAAGTCCTGCCACCCTTCCTATGAGCTTTATATATTTTGGCTAAGAGTGCTAGAGGGCTGTGGGTGAGGTCCTCAGAAAGTCATAGGATGGAAAAATACAATTCTTGACCTACACAATGTTAGGCAGGAGCAGTAGACATGACTAAATTCAATTTCCTTATTTTATAAAAAGGAAACGGAAGCCCAGAGAACTTTAGTTCATTTAGATCAACTTCTGTCCCTTGAGAAATACTTCTCTCAAAGGATTGCTTTGAAAATGGCAAGCACTTTGTAGTCCGTGGGCCTTAAGGCATAAAGTTCCCTATGCCCCAAGGCTGGGGGCCCCTCGCTGTGCCTCAGGTCAAAGGTCGTTTTAGAGGTCGTCCCTCTCACCACTGCATCCAGTTTTATTTTTTGTGGCACCCATTAATATTTAAAATTATATCATTCTTTTATTAGTTATCTGATGTCTCCCACAGGAATGAAAGCCATATGAGAAAATATTCTTTCCTGTCTGTTAACCGTTTAATCCTCAGGGTGAACTGAGATTCGAAGCCAAGCAGTCTGGCTCTAAAGTCCGCGCTTTCAACCACAACGTTAATACTATTTGGTGAATAAAGTACAGGATGGACTTCCGCGTACTGAAGGAAGTAACAGCAAAAAAAAAAAAAATATATCGCACCCGGGGAAGTGAGCAGGTGGAAAACATCCAGATCCACCCCCAACGTGCCCCCTGTGACCTTTCCCTCCGGAAGCGCTTGCGGCTTTCGGGCGCGAGTGCGCACGCGCAGCCGCCGGGTTTGCCCTGGGCCGCGCGCGGAGTGGGGACGCGAGGGAAGGTTCCGCCTCTAGGGCTGGCAGGCGCCTGCGCCCGCGGGGCTCCTGTCAGGACGCGCATTCTCGCTCGCTCCCTCCCTCCCCCGGCTGCGCGCGCCCAGTGGGCGTGGGAGGAGGCGGGGAACCGGGGAGGGGCGGGTGTCGCGGGAGGGAAGGAGCGAACCGGAGAGCGTCGTCCTGAGAGGAGTGAAGGCGGCAAAATGGCGGACCGCTTCTCCCGCTTCAACGAGGACCGAGACTTTCAGGTAAACACTGGCGTCGCTGAGGAACCAGGGAAGGCGCTGGTCCAGCCCAGAACCTCCTTCATCCCCGGCTTCCAGCCGTCTTTCCTTCCGGGCTCTGCTTCTGCTTTCGAGCCGGCTCGTTCTTGATTTCTCCAGGGGCCTCCCAGCTTGAGGCGCATCTCCTCTCACCCCGCATTCTCTCGCCTCTTAAACTCAGGCCGCCAGGTTTGCGGCTTCCGCCTGTTTTGCGTCGGGTTTCAGAACCCCAGCCTGGGCACTGTGCTGTCTCCTCGGCGTCTGCCCGGTTTGTGCCGGCAAGGACTGGTCCCAGGGGAAAAGAGGGTTGGGTTGGGCTGGAAGGGCTTGAAGCGAGTGTTCCTGAGGCCAGGGCTTTCAAACCTCTGGATTTCGCTCGCACGGATCTTCTTGGGATCCTTCTCCCCTTTTTCTTCACTCTGATAAATAAATCCCTTTCATTGTCTATTTTTCCTTTCCTTGCTTGGGAAAAAGGTTGCCTTAGTTAGCAGACGCTCTCTTGATTAGTCAAACATTGAGATTTCCTAGGACATAAATGTTGCTTTTGTTACGAGGTCATTAATTGGGCTTGGAAAACACTTAAGTCTTTCAGGACTATGGTCCAATGTGACCTTAACCTCAAATCCTACTTCGAAAGATTTGTAAGAAGCCTAATAATAATGGGCCTTCCGAGCGTGTGTAACTAGTGCCAAAAGCTTGATTTTTCTATCTTCATTCGCAAATATTGGTATGGAAAAACGCCCTTGTGATGGCAAGCTTTATTGAGGAAAAAATAAAGGCCAAATTAGAATAACTCGTCTTTTGGCTGTTTAAAATACCTTGCTGTTGAGCATTTACCGCGGAAATCTTGGAGACTAACAGGAATTTAGTAGAGATTGGCTATTTCTAGATAAAATACATCTTCAGAGTTATAAAGAAACCACCGCATTACTACCGCATATCCTGGCAACTGCAATTTGGGTCAGAGGATGAACCTCAGAACTCAAGTTTTTATCCCACTCTAGATCTTACTCATAGTAATATGGGAATACTTTATATGTGTTTCAGCAGGCAGTTTAAAGGGATTGAATTCCCTGAGGTGATTGGGTTGGCAAATAAAACAAGTAAAGTAGTTTACCAGTTTTAACATAACATTGTTAAGTCTGGTAGGGAGAACGCTCATGAGAAGTTTTGCAGCAGTAAGGGATCTGGGGGCTGTTGAAAAGCCTTGTGATCATGCGCCTGCTGTATAGCTGCAGTATAATACAAAATCTCAAGGTGTTTTAAGGATATAATGCAGGTTCACTGAAGTTTGAAGCAGTTCATATTAACCATTTGATCCCTGAGAAACGTGATTTTTGTTTTTAAGCAAACACCATAAAACATGAGTACGTAACAAGGTGTATGAGCTTTATTGGTAATTTTTAAAGAGATGTATTGATAACTAGAAACCTCAAATGCTTTTCAGAGGAGACAATTTCAAGGTGACCTAATAAAATTAAAAATAGATAATATGGACAATTAAGTTGTGAGGAAAATAACTGTCAGCCACAGAATTGCAGCAGACTTAACAAAGACATAGAATTTTCAGGGCTTTGAATGAAGATTTTGAAAATTGGATAGTGAAATATGAATGCTGCTGCCTGAAAAAATTGAAAAGGCTAGCTTCTACTTTTTCAGTATCCAACTTCTAAGTAAAATGACCGTTTGTCTGATACTTTAGTTGGGTTAATGTAAAACCCAATAATGGTTGCTTGGTAGTTCTTTAAAGATACTACATATATTTTAACTTTATTTTCTGCCTTTATGTTGAAAGAACCACCTCCTGTATTGGATCAGCCAGGAAAATGTTGGTTTTTAAAATTTGAATGTCCTAGCATTTTGGATAAATAGGGTATTGAGGATGGAAATCTTTTGGACAGTTATAAAATGTTAAAACTTTTGTAAGTTGCTATGCCAACATTTCTAAAAAGCATTCATTTAAAAATACATAAAGTGAGTTTTTTTCTGGATGTTTTAATAAAGGGAAAAATACAGGTAGAATTTCATTAATAATATCTTTTGATTTAAAGTTATTGGAGAGGGAATGTAATGTAATAGGATGTGCCTGTGAATAATGTATGTGAAACATTTTTCAACTTCAGGTTACTCAGAATTAAATATGGCCTCCTTTTAAGGTTTTAAGTGATAAATGAAGGGAAACCACTGACTACACTTGAAAACAAAGCCATAATCCAAACATAATGGATAGATCCTGTTGCTTTAAGCAGATCTTATAGCATTTATAGCACTGGAAATTTTTCTGTTGGTATAAGTTCTAGATGACTATCATTTTCTTTGCCTTTAATTTGGCAGGATAATTAAAATTGTAGAATTTCACTCTTTATACCAGTTTGCCACCAAGGGCAAATTTTGGAGAGTTTGTCTCTTGAACTTAGTGTGGAGTCAGAGAGTTGGGCTCACTTTCAGAATTTGTGAACACCTAAAGTTTCAAAGGTGTTTTGTTTAATATAGTGAGAAACTTTACTGTGGTATGCCATTTGAAACACTTATAATTGTAGACAGTCATCATTATCAGGGACATACATTTTTTAAAAACTTGGTAACTTTATTATAATAACAAACAGGAGAGGATTTATGTGTATTATGTCATAATCTTCACAATAACCCTAGGAGGTAGGTAATATTACTCACATTTTCAGAGGGGGCAGCTGAGGCACAGAGAGTAACTTGGCCAAGTACACATACCAGTTAAATGGCAGAGCCTGGAGTCCGATTGGCTTTTGGACTCATGACCATTATGTCTGCTGATGGCAGTTATATATTTTCTATAGCTGTAATTGAGTCATCAAATGTGTAGGATAAACTTATAGGTCACAAAGAATAAGTGAGCTTTTGGAAAGGTGATAGGATCACAGTTTCTACTCTATTCTCTTTTGTCCGGATTTGTTACTTGTTAGTCTCCCAGGGGCTTCTTGGAAGGCTTCTGACAGTGATAAGTTACACTGTGTCATAGAGGATATATTGTTAACTGTTCCAGTTTAGACATTCTTTTGTCTAGCCTTTTTAAGTGATTTTTGTCTTTGGAAATCTTAGTAATCTAGGCTGATGTATTTACTTTTTAAAATGTTTTAAGAGTTTTTAACTACTCCTTTAAGAATCTGACCTCAATTTCTGAATGAGACATTACTTCTGCCAGTATTTACCAGGTTAAGAGATATTTGTTTACAGATTGAAGAGTAACACAAACTAATGTAAAATATATAACTTAAGATACAGGTGTATTCAACACTTTGGATTATAGCTTCATTAGAGAAAGTTTTGTTTGTACAGTGATGTACAGCTGTAAGATGCCATTAAGATACAGTGCTTAGCATTTCATGGTTATGCAGCTATTATTGATGATGGCAGCTGAATGCCAGTGAGGAAATGTTCTTTGTGTGTGTACCTGCAGAGGAGTGAAGATTCTTGTTCCAAGTGTTCTCTGCATTAGATTTCTAATGAAAAGAAACTACAGTGATAGATTAGTGAGTGATAAGGTGATGAGAGAAACAAGAAATATTATCTTAAAGGTCATGGTAAAAATATAGAAATTGCCTAAGAACTTTCTATAATCTACATATGTAGTTTATTTTTTATTTTTTATTTTTTTTTGAGACAGAGTCTCACTTTGTTGCCCAGGCTAGAGTGAGTGCCGTGGCGTCAGCCTGGCTCAAAGCAACCTCAATCTCTGGGGCTCAGCGATCCTACTGCCTCAGCCTCCCATACATATGTAGTTTTAATGGTAAATAGCAATAAGCAAGTCATGTGTTACCTTTTTGTGTAGTATGTTTGTAGGATTCCTCTTCATGTTTCATATGTGATACCAGGATGTGACCCTTGGGAAATTCTTAGTTGAGACCATTAAGTGGGGAGGTTCGTAGTTTTAAGATATTTAAGTCACAGAAGTATATTAGTGTATTTTCTATGTGCTACTGTGTAATAGAGTTGGCATTCTAATGCAGGCATGCCAGATGACACATAGGCAAGTGTTCTAATGTTTCTGGGTTTCTCTCCTGTCATCTGAAAGAAATGCCACAAGCCATGAAAATTAATGTCAGCTTGGCTTACTTGGGATATCGAAACTTTTACAAAATCATTACTGTTCCTGTTTCCATAGGATGATAGGTGGAACCAAGGCTGTACCAGTTTCAAAATACTGACGCTAAATTGAAATGCTTATTAGCAAATGCAGAATGATACTCTTTAACATATTCTCTGGGGTCAAGAGTGACCAAAGTAAGGTCAGCATAAGAGACATTTCCCTGGAGGTGATTTGAAGGGTAAATGGTATATATTTAAGGCAAAAATCTCTTTTAAAATGTGGGAAATAACCAACAAATAACATCACAGAGAAGGACATAAGATGTATTGGAGAGAAATTGGGTTTGAGAAGAACTGTGATATAGGGCTTCATGCGATAGTATACTTATTTGTTTTCAGAGTAGGCAAGGGAGGTCAAGAAGACACAGATCTGGGCAAATATGCCATTAGGGTGATTACTATTTTAGGGCTATTCTAGTACAGTTAAAGTGATAGAAAAACAGGTGTCCCTGTTGTATTCTTTCCTTTTTCTTCTATGCAGGTTGTACTGCAGAGGGATTCTTTTATCACATTTTCTCAGGTCTTTATGATAAATTATGTAACTGAAGCTAAAATTTGTGACTTAAGAATTTTTAAAACACATATATAATTAGCTATCCTGATTATGCTGCTTCATAGATGAGATAGGTTTACATGTGATTTCTATTTGGGTCCATGATAACATTTTTAAAAAGGACAGTGTTTTCTTGATGTGGTCAAGATTACCATTTTCTGAAAAGGAGTAGCAGAAGTTCATGAAATCTTAAATTATGGATCTGAAACCCATGCAGAGGTTTCATCTTTGTTTTTGTGACTTACACAGTTTCTAGCATTTTATTAATGAAAATGGATTCTACTTGATGTAAATATCCAGTTCTTGAATT